GAACGACCACCGTCTGTCGGCTGCAGAGTGAACCGAGCCCGGCCCGCTGCTCGTTATCGGTAAACGATTTCAATCACGGTTTTATCTCCGTCACAGCTGTCAGGTTAAATGTTTGAATCATGTGATCACGTGTGCTGGTCTGCGTTCGCGCCAAGTTTAATGAAACTTTTGAGTTTTACAAAGAAAGATGAACTGAAGTGAAGATGATGTCAGAGATCACTGAGGTCACAGCTTTGATGACGAAACACGGGGACGTGATGACGGCTGTTAGTAACATTTAGCAGCTTTGAGCTGCTTCAGCGTTTAAAGCTAAATATGAACAAGTTTAAGTTAACTGACTTTAGTGGGGCTTTCATGTGACCCACACCCACGGGAGCTCTGCTGTGATAGCAGCTGAACAACAACCCTGAAAATACACAATAATAACACAAAACAACGTTAAAACTGTGCAGCAAAGACACAAACATGAAGCATCCACAGGTCTGACGCTGCGCCCGCGGCAGCTCAGCGACTGAAGCCGGTTAAAAGTTTCAAGGTTCAGGAGCCGTGACGGAGATTCCTGCGTGATTTTAATGCTGATGGAGCTGTGTTTCTCTGTATGGGTCACAAAAACAAACAAACAAAAACCACTCTGGTGACATTTCCTGAGTTTCATTGTTATAAAATCTGACCAATAAGCTTCAATAACTTTAACTTTTATTTTGAAAAACTGCTCATGTCTGCTGTATCCTCTTTGATTAAACTTCGTGCATGAGCTGCACGTACCTGAGTACAAACAGAGCAGGGATGTAAAGGAGTGCACAGCTGCTTTTTTAACTTCACGTGATTCCTGCAGGATCACCCGTGACTCCATCAGTCACGGGTGATCCTGGTCCTCTAAAATCAAAGAGCCAGAGTCAGCGGGCAGGAGGCGGCTTTGTGTTTCCACTGATTAGACTCACAGATCATCATCAACTCCCCGATCACCGATTAGAAGTTACGATAAAAACTCTTTAAGATGATGAATTTCATTTCTGTCTCAAAGTGAGAAAAACACGTAACGCAGAAACTCGGAGGCTTTATTTTCGCTTTAAAACAGTTGGACTAATGAGTCAATGAACGCTGATTTCTCTAAATGAAAACACAAACGGTTTGTGATAATGAGACTGTTTCTCTGTTTCTCTGTTTCACTGACTTTATTCATCTGGTTTTTATTTCTGTCCACGAGTGAAAATATTTTTGGTTTCTTGGTCGTTGAAAGAAGAAAATAACTTTCTGATGTTTCTAATGAAAATAAAATCCGCTGGTTCTCATTTTTATTTTGATTGAAACTTTACTTTCTCCTTCTTTAAACTCTTTTCTCTGTTTTTACCTGTTTCGCTGTCTGAAGATGAGCTGCTGAGACTTTTATCCTGGAAATCTTCATCCTGTCCGGACCGGAATGGCTCGG